ACAAATTTTTTCTAAAACTCTAGGGACTGAAATTCGGAGTATATTTTGAAGTAAAATAAAATCTTAGTCTTTTCAGAAACACAGAAGATAGTGAAGAAAGTCAGCAAAACCCCTGATACACCTAAGCGGACACGAAAATGCCCGAGGACTTAAGAAAAGTTTAAAAAATGCAAGAGTTCGAATTCACCGGAATATCAGCTAAGAGATAAAGACATGTGATAAAATCCAGAATATTACCGGAAAAGCTTTATGCGTCTGATAAGGATAAAGCAGAGACGTTATCAGATTGGAGGCAATTGCATCTTTAGCTAAGAAACGCCGTGTTTTCAAATCTCTTTTTTTGCTGCGCTTTACTTTTGCTGGATGATAAAGGTGCTAACCGACACCACCACAGATGAAAAGCATTCTGTATTTTCCTCGACCATATCTACAGTATCCAATCTTATGTTCAGCGATCGTGGTACTCGATTCAATAATTTCATGTTGCTCATCTTTGCCTGTTGTGCTTGCACCATTCATCATTCCTTCGGAATCGATGAGCGTCATGTCATTATTATTACTGTTGTTATTATTATGATTATTGTTATTGTTGTTGTTATTATTACTGTTGTTCACTGTAGTAGTGCTGTTTACCATCGCTGTTCCTGAAATTGGCGTTTTTTCTCGAATATTCATGAAGCAAGACAGAGGCCAACGACGTACAAAACAGAAGTTACAGTGCAGTCGACAAATCTATAGTAATTTCTTGCTCATAATTGTCTTCATTATTATTATTATTATTATTATTGTTATTATTACCATCATTATACTCAGCATTATCATAATATCATCACGACTGCAGAAAAACTGGTTGCTCGGAGCAAAAAAATTACAAACCTCAAAATGTTAATTTAAAAACAGATTTTGATATGTTACAGCAAAGGAGAAAGGACACTGCTCGCAGGACCTTACCTGTAGGAATTGGGCGAAGAGCAACACATTTTTGTTTGGGAAAAACGGCATTTCCTGTGATTTTTCAAGAAAACGAACAGAAAGCATTTTCTGTAATTGGCTACCGATCACATAAACAATCAGGAGCGGAAAAAAA